GGGAGTCCCCATGATCTATCTGTCTCTGTCCCTTCAACACTGAGGTTCCATATGAACTCCACTGGTGCAGCCAACTTTTAACATGGGCACTGGGGATGCAAACGCAGGTCCTTGTCAGGCAAGCTCTTCCTCCACTGGGCCATCTCCCCAGAGCTTGCATCTCAAGCCGTGGGTAAGATCCCAATTACTGTCAGGCACTATTAAAGCTGTACAAAGCCAAGTCCTACTGGCACTGTGGAACCAAGGAGAAAATATGACTTGCTAACTCCAAGAAAACGCTCCAACCACCACACCCACTGGAAAGGTCATGAGCCAGCTTTTAAATCACTGTGGTACATCAGTGCTTTGGGAATGAATACGCCTGCAGCTGTGTCCCTACAGGAAATGCTGGAGAAGTGAGATTCAGCAAAGTCCAAATGAGGTTGTGTCTTTCGTTCCTGAAGGGAAGCTGGGACCTTAAGGGACTGACTGCACACCTTCTATTGACCTTCAGACTGCTTAAGTCCTGAGCCCGGCAGTTGGGAGCTTTTCTCCCCTGCGCCTTTACTGAACACTTGTTTAGTTTTATTTCGATGACAGAGTTTCACTAAGCACCCCTGGTTGACCTGGAACTTGCTATGTAGATCAGGCTGGCTTGAAACTCAGAGATCCAATTGCCTCTAGGATTAAAGGTGTGCCCCACCACTCCCAGCAACAAAAGAATCTTTAGGCTAATTTCGTTTCTAGGCAACTTCCCAACCCTATACATCCCAAAGATTTCAAACTATCTTCTTTTTCCTTTCCTTTTTATTTCTTCTTCCTTTTCATCCTTCCATATGAATGACCTTCAAGTTAAACCTCCTCCTATCTCTTGCATACCTTCCCATAGTCACTCAGAGGCCCTGTATCAACAACCACAGTCCACTCTTAAGCAATTCCTGAGCCTATTCCTCTTCTAAGCTCTATGTGAAGATGGGCGCATTCATTATTCACAATTCTCCAGGCTGTTGCTTATGAGAACCTCAAATGCAGTGTTGACAGTGACACCACCCAAATTTACACATTCACTGATGGCAGAGGTGGCCTTTGAACACAGGCCACACAGCAGCAAGCCTGTACTCCTACCCACACTTTCTGATTCAGTAGATGGCTGACATTGGTATGGGCATCAGAATAATACACCAAGTTTCAAATCACAAGCTGGAGCAGCAATTTAGACACCAATTCTAAGTGCAAAGTCCCCAACTGACATCATTCTGGCTGGGGAACAGGGTGTGCCAGGATTTCTTTGGGGGTCTCCAGCCCACAGCTGGAGGTCTCACTATATAGCCCTGGCTATCCTAGAATGAGTTTTATAGACCAGGCTGGCCTCAACCCATAGTGATCTCCCTGCTTCTGCCTCCTGAGCGCTGGGATTAAGGCCACTACCCCTGGCTACTTTGAGACTTAAAATCTTACTTCTCAGGGACAAGGATGTAACTCAGTAGCAAAGCATTTGTCTTGTATGTGCGAGGGCCTGGGTGCCCTCTCCAGAATAATAAACAAACAAATAAATGCCACTTCCTAGGAAGCATTCTGTCATTGACTCTCACCGTGGAAAATGGAGATTTTGCCTGTTTGGAGGTTCTAACAGGAGAGTGCAGCTACTTGTACATCCTTGACCAAAGAACAGCTTCCTCGGGACTTCTCTGTCTGGGAAGGTCCTCCTTGACTGGTTGACTCATACAGTTTCTGGAGGGATTCATGGGTGGTGAAGGAGGAAGGCGACACTCACCTAGCTAGCCAGATCAGCCTAGTTAACACTGGTGATCAGTGGGGTGCCAGATAACACAGACAGACTGCTTTCCCACCCAAGTAGAGAGATTTTGCAAGATCCCTTCACTTTCGTTTACCAAATAAGCAAGGTTAATCAGTTGTCTCTGTTCTTACCATGAGGCAGCCATGACACCTGAGATTTAATGTGGTCCCCATGGTCAGAGAAAAGGTTCATGGTCTGCATACTTCTTTTCTTTTGGTTCTTTGAAACAAGGTCTCACTTGTAGCCCAAACAGACCTAGAACTAGTAGCAATCTTCCTGAAACCTCCCCGAGTGCTGGGATCATAAACATGAGTTACCATGGTTGGCTTTCATTTGCATATTTTATAGTTTGGTCTTGGGTATCAGTGGAATCATTTAAACTATCTTTTACTGAGGTGGGCCAGGCATTTGGAAAAGAATGCTGTCTGAGTGTGAGGAACCCCAATGGAATGGATTTGTACTTGTACAAAGACTTGTATATGACACACCATCAGGGCTATTTGAGCCCTAATAAACAAACACACACACACACACACACACACGTAGACTAACAATATAATAGGCAACTCAAAGGGCTAATTTAGCTTTAAGTTTGTGACAAATCCCATAACTGTCTTTCAGTCAGCCACTTCCCAGGTCAAATAATACAAAGCCCACACTTACACATGTGTTAATGTGAGCACACTTTTGTAGTTCATACCTTTGAACAACATATTTAATTCTCTCACATATGTGAATAGAATAAACAATATTTCTCCCTTGTACATAGGGAAACTGAACCTCTAAGAAGAGACCTGGTTTCTTTTCTTTTCTTTCTTTTTTGGGGGGAGGGGAGGGGAGGTTGAGACAGTTGTAGCCCTGGCTGTCCTGGAACTCCATCTGTAGACTAGGCTAGCCTTGAACTCACAGAGATCTTCCTGCCTCTGCCTCCTGAGTGCTGGGATTAAAGGTGTGCACCACCATCACCACCACCAAACTAGAGAGAACAGAATTTTCTCAAAGATAGTTATCTACCAGACTTCCCCATCTGATTATAAAGCATTTACTTATCTTCCATTTAAAGCACGTCTAGTGATAGTTTATTTACTGTGTGAACTTTGGTTTTAACATTATCTTTAGCTTATAAATCCTATCTGGGGAATGGGGAGCAGCTATTGCTCCCAACCGCTTAGACTTCTGTAGCTATTGCAAGGGCTGAGAACAAGCCTAGGGAGACAGGAGATGGGTGGGAGCTGTCCATTCCTGTTTTCCCCTTACTGTGGCTGGTTCTCCACTCTCAGACGGTAGTAGCTTCAAAGAGGTTCTAAGTTCCAGGCTCATCTTTTACAAGGGAAGAGTGATTGCATAGATTTGAAGAAGAGGTTCTGGGTCAGCAGTGGTGGTGGAAACCTGTGATCTCAGTACTCAGGAGGCTAAGACAGGAGGATTCAAGGCCAATGTGCTCTACATAACAAGATCCTGTTTCAAAAGCTAGAAGGGTAAAGGAATGTGGGGGAGGGGAAGAAGAGGAGCAAATGAGGGAAATGAGGGAAAGGGTGAAGAGTGAGTGGGAGGAGGAGAGATGATTCTGAAAGAGTTTCTTTCTTTTTTTTAAACACAACTTTATTTTGTCTTTTTTTTCCCCCCCCCAGAGCTGAGGATGGAACCCAGAGCCTTGCACTTGCTAGGCAAGCGCTCTACCACTGAGCTAAATCCCCAACCCCCTGAAACAGTTTCTGAATTCAAAACCAGATAGATAGATAGATAGATGACAGATAGATGGATGGATGGATGGATGGATAGATAGATGGATGGATGGAGACAGATAGACAGACAGATTGATATAAATATAATATATATTATTTAAATCTGGCTCTCCCTTTACATTTTTTTAAAGATGGTCTCATACAAACAAGACTGCCCTAGGACTGATTATGTGGCCTTGAATTTGTCATCTGCTGTGGGATGTCTTTCTGTATGCTGTGAATATGTGTTGCTCTGATTGGTTGATAAATAAAGCTTCACTGGCCTATGGCAGGGCAGGATAAGGTTAGGTGGTACATTCCAACTGAAGATGAGAGGAAGAAGGGTGGAGTTGGAAGAGATACCAGCCCACCACCCAAGGAGCAACAAGATGCCAACAGACCAGTAATGCCACGGCCACGTGGCAACATATAGAGGAATAGAAATGGGTTGAGTTTAGTTGTAAGAGCTAGCTAGAAAGAAGCTTGACCCATAGGCCATACAGTTTGTAAGTAATAAAAGCCTCTGTGTGTTCACTTGGGACCAAGCGGCTGTGGGTCACAGATAGGAAAGATTTGTCCCAACCACAGGGCTGGGCAGGACCGGAGAAACTTCCGGCTACAGTCATCCAGCTGCCTCTTCCTCCAGAGTGCTGCCATTACGGGTGTGTGCCACCATACCTAGACAGCTCTCCTTTAATACCAGAATCTCTAGGCCTTGACTCAGAGATAACGTTGAAAAAATCAGTCAATTCCCTAGTGGCCAAATGGCTCCAAACTACAAAAAAATGAAGACTTGTAGGCAATTACTGCATTTCCTTGTTTCTTAAGGAATTTCACTTGACCATGAATTCCCTTGTTTTTGCTTTGGGCTTCTACTCTTTATCTCTAACTCCACTCAAAACACAGTTTATTTGTGGCTGAGACATCCCTCCAAATACTAAACCAGAGCAGGTCACCGCAAAAACACTAGAGGACACTTAGGACCAGGTAACCCTTTGAAACATCGTTTTCCTTTGCTTAGTCACAATTCCACAGCTGAAAGATGTGGATAGCTGCCTGCAAAAGGAAGTATGCAATGTGAGTCTGATCTTTGTTGTGTGTTTTACAGAGGTTCTATATGCACTAAATGCCTAGAAAGTGCAGTGTTCATCTCTTCCTCCTCTTCTCCTCCCGTCATCTTCCTCTAACTCTAGCTCAGCAATCATCCAACTCTAGTCTCTTAGCTGAGGCATCAATAAGGCAGTCAGGGCAGAAAACCATTGCTGAGAAGCCCAATCATCCCATGTGATGGTAATTAGCTTTGAGCGGCCTCTGCTAATGTGCCAGGAGGGATTTCAAGAAGCTGCTCACTGGGCTTTTGCCTTTAATAGGCAGAGGAAGGGCTCAGATGCAAAGAGATGATTACCTGTAAGCCACACGGTAGGAACTGGACTCCTTCTAAAATGCCATTTTCAGAGCGTGTCCTGAGCGAGGGAAGAAATCAGGCTCTCTGCCAGTCCTTAGCCCTGCTTCATCAAGATTGAGCTCTGGGGGTTTCAAACACGAGGACCCATGCAATCTACTACAGTTAAGTGACTTGACCAAGGTCACACAGAGAGTATGAAAATTAGGATTCATAGCCTCTGTGTTTCCAGGTGCACTAAAAAGAAAAAATAATCTAATAAAGCCCATCAGCCTTTTTTTTTTTTCTCCCAGCAAGCTATAACTGACCCAGAATTTTGAAATAATCAATTTGAAACATTAAAACTCAATTGAAACATATCACCCACAGTTATAGCTCTGGTCACCAGAGTGAAATGTATGATCATGAAGTAGCATAAATTAAAGAGAAAAGGGTGGCCTAGAAATACAATGCATGGACTTAGAAGGTTACTTATTTCTACTCATCCAGCACATTCACTGGTATGATATTTCATTTAAAGACGCTACTTGATTGCTTCCTGCACTCTAAGCCCTGTGTGTGTGGGGGGGGGAGGGTATATAACAGTGAATAATACAGACCATGTACAGCTCCTGTATTTTCAAGAGGGCCAGCCCTATTTATTTTTAAGTAATCAAGCAAGCCTCTCCCCATCAGGATCCTCAATGTAGTTCTTACCAGATTATTATGGATGGTTCTTTCGATTCAAGTCCACAAATGAAAAAGGGGGCCTGGGAAGTAGATCAGAGGTAGCACAGTTGTCTAGAATGTACAAAGCCCTGGCTTAGAGACTCCACATGGCTGGGGAGGAACGAAGCACAGTTGGTCCTAACAAGCCAACTACTTGACATTTTTTGCATTATTTCTAAAGAAGAATTGATGCATATTTTATCTGTACAGGAATTCATGCATTTCCTTCTAAGTCTCTAAAACCCTTTAAACACTTTTTTTCTTTTTCCGAAACTAGATCTCATGTATTAAAGTTGGCCTCAAACAGTACATCTAGCTGAGGCTAGCCCTGAGCTTCTGATACCCCTGCTTCCACCTTCTAAGTGCTAGGGTTACAGCCATGAGCCACGGCACCCAGTTTTTTGGTGCTGGGGATGGAACCCAGGACTTCTGGGGGCTAGGCAAGCACTCTGCCAACAGAGCAAAGTTTCCAGCTGTGGAACAGTCTTCTTTACGGAACAGAGTGCTTCTCTTCCTCACTTCTCCTAAGGTAATGCTCCCCTCAGATTCCTTTGCTGTGAAGCTGTGAAGGCCCTGGAAGATGGCTAATAAGCAGCAGAGGAAATCTGCTCTAGGACTCAAAAGTCACACCACCTAGTTCCAAGTTCCTTTTGTCCAGGGCTCTCAATTCAGATGCTGTCTTACTTGGGCATAGCTCAATATTTGTGAACTTTCCAGGTCTGAGAGTTATAAACACTTTTGAGATCTCTAATTCTGTAATGTAGGTGTTTCTTGAGGCCAACTGTCCAGTTTATGATTAGACCATCACAGTTAATAATTCCCTTATGGATTTTGGATTTTATTTTTAATGTCTGGGAAGGTTACCGCAGGGAAAAAAAAGAGCCTGAAATATGACCCAGCAGGTAAAGGCACCTCTTACCAACCCTGAGGGCCTGAGTTCAATCCCTGAGACCCACATGGTAGAAGTAGACAGTTGTCCTCTGACCTCCACACATGCACGATAACATGTGGGTCCCACACAAAAACACAAATACATATAAAATAAGTAAATATGTAAAAAGAAAAAGAGAGGGGCTAGAGAGATGGCTCAGCCGTCAAAAGAGCTGGCTCATCTTCAGAGGAACATTGTTCGACTCCCAGCATCCACATGGCAGCCCACAACTATCAATAACTCCAGTTTCAGGGGATCCCACACCCTACTCTGGCCTCTATGGGACTAGGCACATCTGTGGTACATATATATACATGCAGACAAAACACCCACACTCAAAAATAAAAATAAATAAATCTTTAAAAAAGAAAAAAAAAGAGAGGTGGAAAGGGAGGGCGGGATGGAGGAAGGGAGAGGAAAGAGGAAGCTAGATTCCCCACATTTCTTGTCCTTAAAATTCTGTTTTGTATTTAGGAAAACCTGACTCCCTCATTCCTCTAACATTTCAATCCAAGAATGCTTTCTCCAGGTGACTCTAGAGAGACATCTAGAGAAAAATGTCAGCTGTCACCGACAGCTTACGGTATGGAAGAACCTAAGTCCTGCCCACGAAGACTTGCAGGCAGAAGCTAGCTATGGGCCAGGAAGCCCAACTCTAGGCTTGGTCTGGCGCAGGAGAGGGGCGCTAAGGTCCTTACTCCTCGTCCTGAAGAGTCTCCTCCTCCTCCTGGATCTGTAACTGATTCTTCACCGGAGCCAGGTTCTCTGTCTTGGCATTGTAGTTCCGAAAGCAGACATTGAGCTTTTCATCAAACTCATTCACCAGGTCCTCCATGGACTTGAAGCTGATGATTTCGGAAGAAAAATTCTCCAGCTCAGAGAGGGAAGGGTCCTCCAGGTGGTGAGGAGATGAGCCATAGAGACACTGCGGCTTTTCCTCTGGGTCCTCGGAGCAACAGGGCCTCAGATCCTCAAACTCTTCGTCTAGACTCACCAGTGGGGCCTCCATCCTGGCACCACAGTACAAACACAGCCACCTCTGCCGTCAGGCTCCGTTTCCCTGGAAGAAATGCACAGGGCAGTGTGAGTGTGGACCAGGCTTTTGTGCCAGTTCTGCCGAGGAACCAGATCACATCTTCCATTACTCTACATCCCCTGGAAAACAAAGGCTCCTTCTCTCCAGTTCAAAACCTAGATTTCAAAAATGCTTATGAAAGTAGACGGGGAACTGTTTGATAGGAGCTTGAAAGGGCCCAGTGGAAGAGTGACTGGGGACATGGAAGGCAAAGGAGGGGAAAGGAGATCAAAGCACATTATATAAATGTGTGAAAAGATCATAGCGAAACACATTTTGTCTAATTAATATAAGCTAATAAAATATGGTTCAGAGGGCAAAGTGCTCACTGCATAAGCCTCAGGAGCTGAGTTCAGATCCCCAACAACCCTGCCCGCAAATCCCCCAACCCCCACCCCTGCATAAAATCGGGGTAAAGGGGTATGTGTCTTTAACCCCAGTGCCATAGGGTGGTGATAGGCAGATGACTCACAGGCCAGACAGTTCAGCTGAAATGGCAAGTTTCAGAGAGAGATCCTGTTGTACAAAATAAGGTGGGTGCCCTGAGTACCTTCAACGCTGTGGCCGCTGTCAGTCTTGACAGGATATTTCTCGTCTATACTATTGCTCTGCCTTGGACAAAGTTTTCTCCATTCTTTGGGTGGGGGGCACCCAATAAGGTGAGAAGCAATTGGGAAACCCTCTGACATCAACCTCTGGCTTCCACATGCACCCACATTGGTGAGCACAGCTATACACACACACACACACACACACACACACACACACACACACACACACACACGGATAAGCCACACATCCATATACACACCATCACCATCACCTCCTCCAACAACAACAACAGCAAGAGTAGATTATACTTATACTTTACTGAAGTATCTATGGCTTCTGAAGTTGCTTACTACAATGCTCTTAAGTAGTTCACATATCTTTGCATATCTTCATAATATGAGCAACCAAACAGAGCGAACTCTGGGGCTGCCCCAAAGCACAGTGATGAAGTATGCAGATCCCAGGCCAGGATGCTCAGGTTTGCACTCTTCTAGCTCTACTATGACCTTAAGCAAGTCGCTTAACTTCTCTGTGCTTCCTTTTATTCTTTTTCAAGCCGGCAAAAACAACAGATTTTTTTTTATATATAAGATTTTTTTTATAAGATTCAGAGGTTTATTATAAGATTAAAGGAGTAAACACAGCTGAAAAAAAATGCTTGGGCTAGGGTGGTGGTGGTTCTCTCTCTCTCTCTCTTGAATTGAACCTGAGACCTTGCACATATGATGAACCTGAGACCTTGCTCTACCGATGAACTACATCACCAGCCCCAGTTTTACTTTTTCTTTTGAGACAGTCTCTCCTTAAATTGTCCAGACTGGCTTTGAACTCACTCTTTAGCCCACACAGGTCCTTCTGCCTCAGCCTCCTGAGGAGCCAGGATTATAAACTCCTGCTGTTATGCTACCAGACCTAGTTTAGATGTATTTTATTGTTTGTTTTTCACAACTTCTTGTATCAAAACCCAACATGACCTCAACTTCTTTGACAATGAAACCTAACATGAATATGAAGCTGCTTGTGGTCTAAATTTGTCCCACTGAGAGTATTGTGCTGAAGAAATATTGATTTTTTTAATTATAGTAGGGAATGAGAGTGTAACTTAGTGGCAGAGCGTAAGATCACAATACTTGAGGCCCTGGGTTTCATCCCTAGCACCAAAAAATAGTTATGAAAATGAATAGCAGAGCTCACGACCTCAGACCACAGTGGATAAGATGCCAAAAAGGCAGTTACTCCCATCCAAAATCTGAAATAATCTAAATTTTGAATCGTGCCTCAGCCCACGGTTCAGGAAAAGGGATCCTGGATCTAGGCATTACTCCCCTCATTAATAAATTCTAGACATGCATAGAACACCGACAGACACTTTGCAGCCCAACACTGGTGCTTGCACCTTAAGGCACAGCTGCTAAAGAGGCAGGATAGCTTGAACCCAGGAACTTAGGGCTAGCCTTCCGTCTATTGTCGTCTAAGAAATAAAACCCCAGGGATATAGATCAGTGGTAAAGCACTTACTTTACATGTGAAGATCCCTGTGTATGATCCCTATCACGGGTCTATCCACTTAAAAAAAATTCTGTACAGAATATAACTAAGCTTTTAGCCAGGAATGGCAGTTCACAAATATAAGTGTAGCACTTGGAAATCTGGGGTAAGAAACCTGCCTCAAGTTCCAGGCCAACCTGAGTCATAGAGTGAGTTCCAGGTCAGCCTGGAATACAGAGTGAGAGATACCCTGTTTAGAAGGAGTGGGAAGGCAGAGAGAGAGAGAGAGAGAGAGAGAGAGAGAGAGAGAGAGAGAGAGAGAGAGACTCAACCTATGTGCTCTAAAGGCCAAATCCACATCCATCTTGGGTATTGCATGATGGCTACACATCTAGGCCTCCTTCTAAATCCCAGCAGCTGTGACTCACAGCCCCTCATCCCGCCCTCTCCATACACTATCTTCAACAGTGATTTATTCTTCCATTTCCACATCCAGGGCCCTTCCCAATTTTAATCAAAATTCCTTGAAGGCACAGATGTCCTTTGGATATCCTCCATGGCTTTAGCACACTGGCTGCCCTACGGTTAGGCAACCAATCAATGCGTACTCATTGAGACATGCTCTTCTGCCCCATATACTGTTTCCAACAGCATCACCATCTGTCACCCTTCGACACATGCCCAACTTCCTAATAATGCAGAAAGGTAGCCCAGCTTTCCTCTTCTGGTCCGGTCTGTATGATTCCTGGTCAGTTAGATGTGTAAGCTGGAACCACACCCAACAGATACCAAAAGTCATGGGGTTTGGCCAGTGAGTGCTCACTCCTTGTCTCTACCTACAAAACTCAACTCTATGCAAGGCAGAGGGCATGCTGGATGAGAACTGGCCCTTACTATGATTTTGCTGACATCAAGCCAGTTACCATGGCATCAAAATACATTCTGAGCATTTCTAGTTTGCAAAGGCAACATGGTAGGATAATTATATGAAAGGCCTACCAGCCAAAAATGGTGGAGCCT